ACATGCAGATCTTGTGTGTGTGTGTGTGTGTGTGTGTGTGTGTGTGTGTGTGGCTGTGAATGCCTTTCAGGACTGTTTTCTTGGCCTTTAGCCTTCATTTTGGCTTCAGTTTTGGGAGGGACAGGGACTTCCTTCTTCACTTTCAGCTCCATCTTTATAGAAAGTATTTTACTGCTCTATTAACCTAATAATTTGAACAATTATAATTTGTGATAGTAATAGATTAAAAGGATAGTAATAAGATAGTTCATGATTAAGTAACATATATGGATTTTATGGAAAATCTGCCATTTTAATCTGCTATTTGCAGTTTCATTATAATGGCTTATTCTTTGATAAGATTGATGTAACACAATAATAAATGGCATTTTCATTGGCATAGAGGTACATTCCTATTATCTATTTTTAAATCTGGATATTTTATATAGGACAGTACCGTTAGCCCTCAATTTCATTGTGTATCTTTGGAAGTTCAATATTGCTGTTGGAAAATTCCAGTATCAAGTAAAGGAAAGATTTACTGCTCTGCCATGGTTTATTTTTCTGACACAACTACTAATCGCAAATTTCTTTTTCTTTTTATTTGTCCCCTTTGAAATTCCTCGTAAGTGTCTTTGACCTAACTGTATCCCTCTCATCATTACCCTGACTAACACTTTTATTATCTGTTTGCATTTGCTCTTGAGGTATCCACGATTGTTTGTCTCTATACATAGAGATTTAACTTGTTAATTAAGACTTTTCAATAGGAAAACGGAGGTTATATAGGCCTACATTTTTTAAATTTACAATTTCCAACAAAAATTCTGAAAATATAATATTATTGGCAAATGTGACTTGAATAGATAGAAGGTTAGGTATTGCATAGCTATTTTATTTAATGTAAATATTGTTGGTTTTGTGTATTGTAGATAGAACCAACTTGCTATAATGTAGCATTGAGTGAAAATTGACTCATAGCTGACCCTATGACGGGTTTTCAGAGGCAGTTAATTGCATGGGAAGAGATTGCCTATCCTTCTCCCATGGAGCAGCTGGTGTATTTGAACTATACACTTTTAGGATTGCAGTGCAGCTTCTTACCATTAGGCTACCAAAGCATCAGAGCTTCCTGTTTAGTGTGAATAGTCAATACATTTTTCTGGGAAAATACTAATAACGGTTGTTTATAAGATGGTGCCCAGAGACAATGATGTGGTGCTATGAAATACATACTATCTTTCTAACATCTGGAAAAGTTAGTTGCCAGTAAGGGTTAGAGGCAATGTATAATGATTGTTATTTATGATGATCTATAATCATAATCACTATGAGAGCTAAGCATATAAAATTTATAATCCAGCTCTATACTAAGCATCAGGTTTTTTTTCTTTTAGATTCCCTGAAATCATAGTGTATCCAGGAAGTCTTATTAAAATATAATCAATAATTCCCACAACCTTGAAACACTTTTTTAAAATTATTGTGTGCAGCTAGTTCTCATAGCACAAGTTTTAAAGCAATACTCAGCTGGTCCATAAGTTACTTGTAGACGTTGTTGTTGTTGTTATGTGCCGTTGAGG